CAGTATGAGAGGCCAGGCACGGTGGCTCACTCCTGTAATCCAAGCACTTTGCAGGCCCAGGCGGGTGGATCACCTGAGGTCGGGAGTTCAAGCCCAGCCTGACCAACATGGTGAAACCCCGTCTTTGAAGAAAAAAAAAAAAGAGCAGTATGAAGATGAATGGACTGTAAAGAAAGTGGAGGTCCCCAGACCCATCTGGAGACAACAGTCAAATAAAATAATAAAATTTCACATTTGAGAAATTTCAAACTAGGACAAGTGCTAACTAGCATAAATAGAGTATTAAAGTAAAAAAAAGTCTTCCAATGGCGACTTTTGACTATGTAGGCTCCAAAATAGATTTAGAGTTTTCCTTGAAGCATTTATACCAACATCACATATGTTTTGAATCAAAGTCTATACTATATCCCTTATCCATTATGAGTTCACAGACTAACAAAATGCAAGAGAATTTGGCAAAATTGACACAATGAAATTATAATATATGACATTGCTCCCTTACTTCTTGCAATAATTTATAAACCAAGCCAGTTAACACTTAGAGAAAATTTATAGTCACAAAAAACTGAGTAATTTGTGGCAGGCACAAGGTAAATTCAAACCTTAGCCAAGAAACTAACTCAGATTTCCTACTTACCATTCCAACGTTTGTCACACTGCATGTCCTGACTTCTTTCGTTTTTGTCTCACAGGTTTTGAAAGAAGTATTTGCCTAGAGTCTCTGAATTTAACCAGCTTTTTAAAGGATCAGAAAATACCTAGGGACTACTGAAATCTTTGTGTACCCTAGAGGGCCTATGCTTTGTGAGTTATCTTAGAAAAGTGTTTTGGCCACTTAGTAAGGTTGACATCCTTTCAGTAGATGTCTTTGAAGAGAAGAGAAACAGTGGAGCACTCCATGGTTGCAAATCAAAGTCTTTTTTTTTTTTTTTTTTTTTTTTTTTTTTTTTTTGAGATTTTTTTTTTTTCTTGTTGCCCAGGCTAGAGTGTAACAGTGCAACCTCGGCTCACCACAACCTCCATCTCCCTGGTTCAAGCGATTCTTCTGCCTCATCCTCCAGAGTAGCTGGGATTACAGGGGCCTGCCACCATACCCAGCTAATTTTGCATTTTTAGTAGAGACTGGGTTTCTCCACGTTGATCAGGCTGGTCTCAAACTCCCAACCTCAGGTGATCCGCCCACCTCGGCCTCCCAAAATGCTGGGATTACAGGCATGAGCCACTGTGCCCAGCCTCAAAGCCATTTTTTTAAGCAGAAAAGGATTAATCTTTGTCCTTGACTTTTCCTCTCTATGAGACTTTCTATTTTGTTTAAATAATCTTGTCCATGCTACCATGAATTTCTACAATGTATTTAATACTACAAAATCAGTGATCTCTTTCTGGGGAGGGATTACCTGAAAAGGAAAATAACAATGTGGTATTCTTGGCCAGAAAAGAGTTGCTGCTGACTCAGTGGTCATGAAGTCACAAGCTTTGGGCAATTTTCCAGATGTCAGGCAGGGGCACTACCCACTTCTCTACTCTGTGGACCTAGTTGATGACTCAGGCAGGCGGGGTGAGCCAACTATGGAAGCCATTGTTGCTTTGGAATTCTGTCCTTGGTGGGAAACCCAACGGTATTGGCCATAGTTATCTGTTCCAATGAATGGAGAGCCAAATGACTCAGCCATGTGATAGGGTACAATAAAAGTGTCCCCTCTCCTCCTCCAAATATGTTGTGTTGGGTCAGCCGACCATGATAATGAAGTCTTGAGAAAGAGAGCAGAGATAAATGCCACATTATCCTTGAATCATGTATATATTTTAAAATATATGATTTGCCTTGAGCTCAATAGCTACTTCCAGAAACTGGAGCCAGAATGAAAGATTCCATCTATAATTCACCTCTCAGGAGCCAAACCTTCAACACACAGGAAATGTAAAACAAATACAGCTAAACTCAGTGCTCCAGCTGTTTGGTCCAGATAACTTCCTACAGGAGCAAACCTCAGCAGAGGCATGTAAGGAGAGCTCTGTTTAGAGGCATTTGAAAATCTTATTTGGGCCACACTGAGGAATAAAGTGGTTCAACTATTCTGAAATATAAGGAAAAGCAGGCTGGGTGCAGATGGCTCATGCCTGTAATCCCAGCACTTTGGGAGGCCAAGGCGGGTGGATCACCTGGGGTTAGGAGCTCAAGACCAGCCTGGCCAACATGAGGAAACCCTGTCTCTACTAAAAATACAAAAATTAGCTGGGTGTGGTGGCAGGCACCTGTAATTCCAGCCACTCAGGAGGCTGAGGAAGGAGAATCGCTGGAAAGTGGAGGCTGCGGTGAGCAGAGATCTCACCATTGCACTCTACTCTGAGTAAGAAAGCAAGGCTCTGTCTCAAAAAAGAAAAAAATAATAAAATACCTTAGACTACATAGCTTAAAAAAAAAAAGCAATATTGGCTCTCATAATTTTACAAACTATTTTCTTTTTTTTCACAGTTTTACAAACTATTTTCTTTTTTAAGTGCTATCCAAGTCATCTGTATCTGCATCCTTTTGTTGTGGGTTTGGGAGTGGAAGAACTAGTACAAGAGACAAAAGTTTAACTCTCGATGAGGGAAACATGTTTCCAAGGTTCTTCAGAGAACTCTTCATCACCTCCTGTTCCAGTGTTTGTTAGTTTATTAACTGTAATAAAATACGTTATGTCATATTACATACTGTGGTAGTCCTTTCATTAGAGGGCCTGAAAGCAAGCCATTGCTCAATTAAGGGCCCAGTCACAGCTGAGCTCAGGCTGATGCTTCCCAGCCCAAGCAGGAACAAAGCAAATCTGCCCAATACTTTAGAACATACAGGGAAGTTTTGTGTATTCCCTTGAAAACAGGATTGCCACCAGTGACCCAGGTTCCTGCTAGGTCAGGAGACGCACCACAGTTGCGTCTGTGCATATATAATATTTTTATATGCACATATGCTTATATAATACTTTTAAACAAACATCATTTTTGAACTTTCTGTAATCGGGAACATCAGATCATGAAATTGAAGCTTCAGATCTTCAACTGTTAAGCTTTAACCTCATCTCTGAGTTATCTAAAATTCCTCGAGAATTACAGCGTATTTTCTTGCCTTGAGAACCCCTGGGAAGATCTAGTCTCAAGCTAATGCGCGATCCCTCAAAAACGAGACCATTTCTCCCATTAGCATCGTGCCACACTCTATTTCTGCATCTGCAACCAGAGTTTTGGGTGCTTTCTAGTTTTTGTTTCTGTTCAAAGATAGAACAGAATGCTGGAGCGGAAAGGACTCAGGAAGGGAAGGGAGGTGGCCATCCTGCTTCCCCTCACTGAGAGCCCTCTCTCTGCCCTGCGGGCTGGACAGGGCTGTCAGGGTGTAATGTCAGATCCATTGAGCAGTTCTGGCCTGGGAGGGAGAAAGAGAGCACCAGTGGATATTTGAGAACAAAGGTGGGGCCGGTGCCAAGGGTAACTGTGCAGGCCCCTGGCTGAGGGGAAATCCCTGGGGAACACATTCCACTCTGTGACCAGCAACCCTGTTTCCCTTCTCCCCTTCTAGCTCACTTCCCCTCCATTATCTCCATTCCACATCCATTCCCTTACTGAGGCCCTGTTCTGTGCCAGGAATTCAGCTAGGGGCTAGGGGCCAGACAATAAAAACAGACCCGTTTTCAGAACCCTACAGTCATCCCTGAGGAGCACAGTCCTAAGGACACAGAACAGGGTTGTCCTCAAAAGGCACAGAGCCTGTGTTAAAGGAGATGAGACTGTGGCCCAGAGATGAGCCATGTAAGAGAGACTGCTGTGATAGGGGTTAGATGCGGGGAAACTCTTGGGTGGCTCGGTCTGCTATGCTTTGACCTGTGGTGAGGATGATAAAAAGGCCCGATCAAGAAAGAGTCATGGAAAAGAGCCTGGTGATGAGCGAACTGCGGAATAGAGATGGGAGAGGGAGGTGAGGGAGGGTACAGGGGCTATAACAAATACCACAGGCTGGGCGCCATGGCTCACGCCTGTAATCCCAGCACTTTGGGAGGCCGAGGCGGGCGGATCACCTAAGGTCAGGAGTTCGAAACCAGCCTGACCAACATGGAGAAACCCCGTCTCTACTAAATATACAAAATTAGCCGAGTGTGGTGACGCATGCCTTTAATCCCAGTACTCAGGAGGCTGAGGCAGGAGAATCGCTTGAACCCGGGAGTTGGAGATTACAGTGAGCCGAGATCACACCATTGCACTCCAGCCTGGGTAACAAAGCGAAACTCCGTCTCAAAACAACAACAAATATATTTGTATATAATATATATAACCAAATACCACAAACGGGACGGCTTTAAACAATGGAAATGGGCTGTCTCGGTTCTGGAGACTTTTAGTCCACATCAACGTGCGGCACAGTCGGTTCTCTCTCTGGAGGGAATCTGGCGCAGCCTCTGCGGGCCCAGGGGGTCCTTGGCTGGGGGACGACTCTGCCGCCTTCCGGTCTCCCGCGCTCTAGGCCAGGACGGGTTGTGCGACGGCGGGGGTCGCTGCCCTTCTGTCCGTAGGCTTCTCCAACGGTAAAAGGAGGTGAGGCGATTCCAATGCAGACATTCTATGATTTCATAACAGGCCTCTAAGGACCACTCCAATGCGGGCAGTCCATGCTTTTATAATAGGCAGCTCGGCTTTTCACGCAGGCGAAAGGGAAAGAGGAGACATCACTTTTCTTGAAGTCAGCTAACCTCTCTGCGGAGTGACGTCACCTCGAGCCTCAATTTGCTGATCTAAAAAATAAAAATTTTAATAAATTGATTACCAGTTGTTAAAAATAACACTACGGCCTCACAAGGTGGTGGGATGAGGGTGCTTGCTCGAGAGACACGCAGGTCTGAGCAGAAGCAAGCCCGAATGCTCTCCCGCAGGTTCTCGGAAACAGTCACCGCCTCCCAGCGTCGCGCGGGGGCGGGGCGAGCAGTGCGGGCGGTCGGGAGGGGGCGGGGCGAGGAGGTAGGCTTTGTTCTCGTCCCCGCCCCCGCCCCGCCCCCGCACTAGATATCGCGAGAGGGCGGGCCAGCTTGGCTTCGGCGTCGGCGTCGGCGTCGCTCGCGCCTCGTAGCCGTAGGCCAGCGTCTGCTCGCGAGCCGCGGGTCAAGTGCTGGCTGCTAAGGGGAAGCGAGGAACCGCCACCCGTTCGGCGTTGGCTTTGGCGTCGGGGTCGTTGTGTCGTGACAACCGCTCCGGCAGCCGTTTCCGAGGCAGCAGGTGCGGCCGCTTTAGTCCTCAGCGGACTCCGCGGTTGCCTGCGGGTCTCTGCGAGTGCCGACCCTTCTCTTCGCGGATCCCAAGCCAAGCAGCGACCCTGAGCCGACAGCTGAAGCGCCCGGCAATGGCGGCCTCGACGGCCTCGCACCGGCCCATCAAGGGGATCCTAAAGAACAAGACCTCTACGACTTCCTCTGTGGTGGCGTCGGCCGAACAGCCCCGCGGGAGTGTAGACGAGGAGCTGAGGTGAGAGCTGGGAGGGACGGCTTGAGAGCCCCTCCTTCCCGCTGGGCGGCCTTGCGCGCCGCCGCCGTTACCCACCCAGACCCCAGGCGCGGGCGGGCAGGCGGGCGGGCGGCGTGGATGTGTCTCGGGTGCCGCTCGGATCTCTCCACCTGCTCGGCTAGCCGCGGGTGGGACCGATCTTTAAGAAGGCTGGGCGATGACGTTTATCATGTTTCCTTTTTTTTTTTTTTAAAGCA